GGTGAGGGGTGGGTGCCAAGAGAAGGGGGCCCACGGGAGTGTGACAGGCGCTGCTGCCTCTTCTCCGCAGCTGAAGAAGCTGGATCAGGCCGTGTCCGCTGCTCACACCTTCTTCGTCGCCAATCCCCAGCACCTCCAAATGCGGGAGGACATAGAGAAATACCGGCGTATGTCAGGGGTGAGGTCGGACAACTTTCGGGACCTGGAGGCCACCCCGCACTGGGTGAGGGTTAGGTGCAGAGCCAGGCGTCAGCAGCTGATATCCCATCCTAGTCTGGGACATGGGTCTGTTCCCACGCAAGAGCCATGGCTTGAGACAGGGCCCTCGTACATAGAATCACGGAATGGCTTAGGCTGGAAGGGACCTATATAGATCACCTAGTCCAACCCCTCTGCCGTGAGCAGGAACATTTTTCGCTAGATCAGATTACTCAAAGCCCTGTCCAACCTGACCTTGACCACGTCCAGTGGTGGGGCATCCACAACTTCTGTGGGCAGTCTGCTCCAGTGTCTCACTATACTTATCGTAAAAAATGTCTTCCTTGTCTGCAATCTAAATCTACCCTCTTTCAGTTTAAAACCACTGCCCCTTGTCCTGTCACTATAGGCCCTGCCTGGTCAAAAGTCTCGCTCAGTCTTTCTTATAAGCCCCCTTTATATTTGAAAGCCTGCAAGAAGGTTTCCCTGTGAAGCCTTCTCTTCAGGGTGAAGACAAACCATTGCAAGTGTGACAGAGATCTTCTGGTGACAGATACAGCAGGCTTGGTGTAGTTGGCTTAAGTCCAGAAGATTTGCTGTCACTGTGTGGTGGGCTGTGCATGATCTGGCAGGCCCCTAGATGTCAGCACCGCCCTGTGAGCAACTTGAAGTCTCAGGGCATCCTTTGGTGTCACCCATGCTGATGAGGGACCTGGATCTGTCCTTCACAGGAAGCATATGAGGCTGGGCTGCAGCACTACAATGCAGATGAGTACCTGCAGGCTGTGGCCAGGCTGGAGGAGTCACTCACAGAGGCGCTGTCTGCACTGGAAGAGTGTCGTGCCCTGTGTGAAGGGCCTTGGGAGGATGAGGACGAGGAGGAGATGCAACCTGGCCTGTATGAAGCCATTGCAGGTAGCGTTAGAGGCACAGAGGGTTTGGTAGGAAGGCCATGCTCCCCACACCGAACATGCCCCATTTCCCAGCACTCCTGTCTGGAAGAAGTGTGAGCTACAGCCTTTCTTGCTCCTCTCTCTTGCAGCCCATTATATTCAGGTTTTGAAGTGCAGACAGCAGTGCGTCCTTGAAATTGCCACAAAGCCAGGGCGGATTTCTGCCACAGAAGATTTCATACCCTCTCATCTTGATTTACTGCAGTTTGCCTACGATCAAGGTGAGCAGAGCTACAACCCAGCGGGTTATGCTGTGGCACCCCTAGACGCCCATTGCCTCTGGAGTTGGAGGGCAGCATGTCATGGGGAGAAGTGGCACACTGACATGAGCTCTACCTCTCTTCTCCCTTCTGCCCCCTGACTCTTCCCAGAACCTCTCTTCTCTTGATCGAGCCTGTGACCACCTTGAGAGTCACCTTATGGTCCACTTCAGTCTCCCTGTGCAGCTTCTGTCAATGTGTGGCTGTTCCCACTTCTTTCTTCCAGCACTGTCCTTGTTCCAACTATCTGCTGTGTATTTTATACCCTCCTTTACAGTACGTGGCTCCAGACCAGGCCCCCACTTCCTATCTAGAACATGCGCTTGCATCTCATCTCAGCAGTGGCGTTCCTTCTGAGTCACTGAACTGATGGCCTGTCATGACGTTGGTCATCCTGTCACCCTGTCACTTTCACAAGTCCCTCAGCTCTTCCGTTGGATACCTCTGCTCCTTCCCACACTGGCCCAATTGTCTCTCATCTCCTCTGTCAGACCACTGGTAAAACTTGTATCCCAAAGAAGCCTCCAGACCCCTCATCAGGTCTGTAGGGTGAGGGAGGTAGGACCGTCTTTCTTGAAGATATGTACTTATTTTTTCTCTGTCTCCTCTGAACAAACTCCCAGTAAGTATTGAAAGTGGTCCTGTTCTTCACCGGGCTCATTCCCTGTATGCCCTGCCCATCGTTGGGTAGAGGCCCAATTAGGCAGGGATTGATGTGTACTTGGTGTAAGGCCTCCTACTGCCAGATCCTGACCGGGGCGTTGGGTGCTGCTGGCCTATGCATATTTGCTGCTAACGTCAAGTCTTTCAGAGACATACCTGTTTGTTCTGCTCTGTCCCTGCCCAAGTTGGGAACCAGGTGCTGGCTGCTGAATGTGCTGCTTCCTACTTGCTCTTCTATCCCACGGATGAGCCAATGTTGGAGAAAATGAAACGGTATCGCACAGAAGTGGGAGAGGACACCGCTGTCACAGCCAGAGAGGTAGTTACAACCCCAGGTCTGTACTTTTTGGCCCTCCCCTGATCTCTACGGCAGGATCACAGTCCAGGAGACAAAAAGCATTTCACTGCAGATGTGTGCCAAGCCCAGGGCTGAAGAAACTGGAGACTGAGTTTACTTACAGTCTCTACCAAGCAGGGTCCCTTCAGGACAGAACCGGGCTTTCATAGTGCACAGCAGTGTGTTTGGGCAGGTTTCTGCCCTGGACAGGGATGGGGTTGTCTTTTGTGGGGTGGTAGTTTGACAGCCTCTTTGCTTCCTTAGAGTATTCAACATTACGTGCGAAGATCTTTGATGGAGAAGGAGTTGATTTATTATGCAGTGGAGCATCTAGGAGGGACTTTTAACGACCCCGTAAGTAATGGTATCATCTTAATCTTCCTGCACTGATTTCACCAAGACAGTTGCCAGAATTCACTTTGGTAGTACATGATCCAGAAAGGATCAGGTGCTGATGAGAAGGACCCCCAAGTCCTTATGAGGTGGATCTTTAAGGCCTTTCTGCTGCTCCAGGACTGAAGTTAGTTTGAAATTGCTGCTGTAACCATATGTATTAGCCCAATCTGGCTGTTCTCTTCACTGGAGAAGCGGGACAAGGAACTGGCTGTTTGACACGATCCAGTGTGGGAGAAGTTTGCTGTGAACTGAACGGTCTGCGTTTGTTCCCACAGGATCTTTGGACTCCAGATGAGCTGATTCCTGAAAACTTAAAGGAGAAACAGAGGTAAGGTCAGCCAAGTCGACTAGTACTGAAATATAAGTGTTGGAAGTGGAAGTAGGGGGTGGGGTTGGACTGGCAGGGGTGGTACAAGAAACAGTAATACTGAGGAATGGGCAAAACAGGAACAGGAAGGGTGTGAAAGGCTACCACAGAGGAGGGTTAGGCATAGCTCTGTGTACTGACAGCTCTGGTCTCTGTTTTTTCCCTTGCTCCCGAGAGAGGATCAGGAGAAGCAAAAGCAGGAAACTCTGGATGTGGAAGAGAGGGAGGAGAGGGGTGAGTAAAAGAGCTTGAAGAAGGAGTTGGATGCAATCACCCAGGCTTAGTCAGGCTGTCAGAAAAGTGCTGTCTTTTCTTCCATTCTCCAACATTTGAATGCTAGCATAGATGCAGACTGACTTGAATGGCTCAGCAAGTCTTCTCACTGTTTCTTTTCTCCCTTTTTGATGCATGTGTAATCTTGCAAAATCTCGCTGTGTACATCTCTGGGATGGGAACTCAAAGAGCACTGTGGCTGGAGAAGCTGAGAGCAGTGGTGCCTGAACACGTGACAAGCCTGTGGACATGCAGATCCCTGTTCAGTATGGCAGGAGTGTCTACGCCAAATCTGGTTCAACTCCACCAGCCCAACTTCGAAAAACATTTTTCTGAAGGGGAGAAGGAGAAGGGAGGGGGAATGGAAACTGGAAGCAGACTATTCAGCTTGGGCAAGTCTTTCCCTGAAAAACACAAGTTCAAATGGTTTGTGACTGAATGCTAGACTGCAGAACAGAGTCCCGTGTTCTTGATGGTCCTCTATTATAAGTGGACAAACAGCCTCTTGCAGGGCTCTGTCCTGGAGTCTTTGCCTGAAGTGACCCCAAGTGGTTCTCTGCTGTGACACATGGGAGAGGAGATCATTCTGGGGGCCTGAGTGCCCATCCTTGGCATTCCTCACCATCCAGAGGTCAGAGGGGGGAAGAAAAAGGCCAAAGATCAAAAGATCAAATCACCAACTAATACTCATTGCTTCTCTTTGGGGCTGAAGAAAGTAGAAAGATTCACTGGAGATAATTCTGGGATAAGATGTGTGATCGAAAGAAGGGTTGATGGAGGTGTTTACCTGCTTCTTTTCTCCAGAGCCTCACCCCAGTAGGCTGGACCTGTTCTGCTGCTGCGATCCACAGTGCACTCAACTTTCCCCAGCTCCCTGCTGCTCTCCCAGCAAGCCCCAAGTTTCTGCTGGCTCCTGAAGCACTCGCTGTAGGCCAGCTTCCCCAGCTGATGCTCTGGTTCCCCTGAAGCATGTGAGGGGTGCAAGTGGCCCAGGTCTGCGAGGAATGGGCGCTTCTGGGAAACTGTACTGTCTTCTCAGAGAATGTATAGTGTCTCTCCACTTCCTTATCCAGGCTGGGGGTTGGTGTCTGAGGGCCTGTTGTCCAAAGCTTGCTCATGCCTATCCATACTTTCTTCTCGACAGGTCCTTTGCCTTTTGAGGGTATTGCTGTCACGATGGATTCCCGTCAGATGAATGGAACCCAGAGGGTTGTGTTCGACAGAGTGCTGACAGAGTCTGAGTGTAAGGACCTTCTCCGGCTGACAAAGGTGAAGCCTGGGTCTTGTAGGAGCTCCTGCATGTTGTACTTTCCTCCTCAGTAGGCAGGGCTGTAGTGTTTCCATGGAGGAGAGATGGCAGCCTAATGTGTGTCATCTGTATCCTTCTATTCCAGGCAGCAGGAGAAGCAGGAGATGGCTACCGGGCAAGACGGTCACCTCACACCCCACATGAGAGATTTGAAGGGTTAACCATTCTGAAAGCCATGCAGGGA